GCATCTCCCCAGAGCAAAAGTCAACCCAGTGAGTAGTCACTAATTCCCATTCATTCATTCCTTCCTTCCTTCATTCATGCCATACGTATCCATTTGGCGTCTACCCCATTCCAAACACTGCGGTTTTTTCCCAGCTCCGGCACAGAGGGGGCCACTAAGGGCTGCCCACGTCATGAGGGCGGTCCTAGGTGCTAACAGCCCCCCGGCGCCCCCTCCAGCAAGCCGGCGCATCTGTCCTAAGTGCCCAGATAGGCTGGCATTGCCTCCAACACCCTTTGCAGGACAACATTTTGTTTCAACTCACACATAGAGCTGCTACCTCTCTCTGTGGCCTATCTCCGAGGCTAAAATACAAACTCCATAAGGACAGGAATGACCTAGCAGGTCTGCTCGTCCTGCACCCTCCAAATGCCTTCCATATAGACAGACTGAATGAGCCTTAGTGGGTGAAGTTTTGGAAGCCCAAGGCAGGACCAAGAAAGACAAGTTCCCTCAGGGTATCGGAGAGACGATATCTGTTCTAGTCAACACGAACCCCAGAGCAAAGCCTGTACTTTGCAGGAGGAATGGAAAGTCAGAGGGGAAGGAAGGAACAGCAACAGAAGGCTAACCAGGATAGATTACCAAAAGGAGGCCCAAGGTGTCCGATGACCACGGCTGCGCCCGCCGCACATCACAACGTAACCTTGGCTGGACAAAATAAATGAGTGTGTAAACGGAAGCCAAACAGAACTACAGTAGATCCTGCTTGTAAACACCAGCAGAATCAGCTGAAAGTCACAACAGCAGGCAAGCCGGCTTCTCCATTACCTTTGCAGGCGGGTAAAAAGATAATTTACAGCCCCAGTACTCGGGTGACAGCTGACAGCCCGAGAATTAACCCAAGTCATAATAAAAGCTAAATGGCTTGCTTTAGCATTAAAAGAAAATTGCACCCAAATGTGATTTCTTTCTCTCCTGGCCCTTGCAACCCTCAATTAAGCAAGCTATATAAAAGGTAATCCAGAAATTATCACACCTTCCAGGCCAGCATCCAAGCAAGGCCACCCGCCACAGTCAAGCATTAACTCAGTCAAGAAATCCTGGGGGCCTCCTAGGTGCCGGTCACCGCGCTAGGTTTTGAGAGACACTGGGGACAAAGCGAAGACTCGATCCTTGTGGGATACTATTGGGGAAGACAGGTTATAAACACTTAAACAAAGCCCAAGTGATCGCAGGTGTGCAGTGGCGAGCTCGTGCAGACAAAAAGGTGTGGCCACGTTAGCAAGCAACGGCCGTGCGCAGGAGAGACTCTGCAGGTGACCCTGATGTTGGAATTGGAAGCGTGAGAAGGAGGAGGGTATCTGCAGAGAGGAGAGCAAGTTCAAAGATCCCCAGGCAGAGCAAGGACAGAAATGAGGCTCACATTAGCAGAAGGCAGTGAGGGACGGCCAGAGGGACCAGGAAGCTGGGGATGAGGCACAGGACAGCCCCTCGTGGCTGAAGGTATTCAAGGAGGAGGGTTATGTGATCTGATCGGCAGTTTTAAAAGCCAGTCCATTCGGGGTCCCGTGTGGAGAATGGACTGGAGATACCCAGGGGGGAAGCTGGGGGACCTGTTAGGATGTTGGTCCAGGAAGGAGGCAACGGTGGCCAGGACCAGAGTGGGAGCTACGATCATGAGGACAGGGGGACACCAGATAACATCCTGGTGTTTGAACCATGGGACTCACAGATAGTGAAGATGTGGAGGGTGAGGGAGAGGAGAAGCAAGGACTACTCTTAGCAAGTGGGTGCATGGTGGGGCCCCTGACGGAGACGGAGAAGATGAAGGGAACGAGAGAGCTGGACGGGGTATCAAGAGCTCCATTCATGGACAAGAGCTAGAAGCGCCCAGAAGGGCTGTGTTGGAAAAAAAAAAAAAAAAAAACATGGGAGTCACCAGCAGGGGTGGGGTGGATAACACTGTCGGAAGAGAGAGTCAAGGGCACAAAGGATGCTGGTCCAGTCCCTAAGCAGCCCCATCATTCAGAGGTCAGAGAAGCCACAGCAGGGAGACTGAAGAGGAACCATTAGAAAGGTGAGCAGAAAACCAGGGGAGTAGGGAGGCCAGAAGCTGGAGGGTGGTGGGAGGATGGGGGGTGGGGGAATTCTTCCAGGAAGGAGGGAGTGGCCACTGGTGAGGAAGAGGGCCAAGGGGCCAACACAAGGACAGAGATCTGGCAGGTCCCCAGGGATCCCGCCGCTGGGTGCGACTGCAGAGTGTGAAGGGTAACGCATGGTAGAAGAAAGCTGATGGAGAGACTGGGACGTATCTTCTGAGATGTTTTCAGGTGAAGGAGAACAAAGAAGCAAGAGAGAGAAGACAGAAGCTACAGCTAGGCTCTCCAAGATGGCCGCCACTACCCGCATGCGGCTATTTCAACTTCAATTAAGAATTCAGGTCCTCGGTCACGCTAGACACATTTCGAGTGCCCAACAATCACATGTGGCCGGTGGCAGCTGTATCAGGCCCTGCAGACAGAGCACATTCCCATTGGTGTGGAAAGGTCTACTGGACAGCACTGAACCAAAGCTCGTGGGTATACGGATGAGACAGACCCTGGAGGGAGGAAGGGAGGTGGCCTGACAAGGCAGAGAGGGGACGGGATGGACGGTCCCGGGTGGGGGACAACAGGAGGGCCTGGCCAGCTGCTGAGACAGGGAGCAAGAAAGCCACCAGGGGCAGCCACCCGCGGCAGGGGGCAGGAACATGAGGCTTTCCTCGGTCTGTGGCTCTTGTTTTGTCAGTGAAGGTGTGTGAGGGGAGAGGAGACCGGTCTCAGGAGAGAAGGTAGGAAACAGCGGCCTCGGGGAGAAAAAGCGCAAACTTACTGGGGAAATCACAGGCTCAATGCAAAACACTTCACAGAAGAGAAGCGGAAACAGTTCATGTCTGACAGAGGAAAAGCATCTTAAGTGGGGAAGAAGTAAACTCAGAATTTTTTTTTTCCTTAATTCTTGGCCACGTCTGCACAGTCAAGCCGTAACAGGGCCAGATAACCACAGTGAGATTCTCCACTGGCTGCCCTTTTGTTCTTTCCCCCGTCCCACTCAACTCTCAGAAAGCATGACATTGGTTCTATTTCCAGTGAAAATGGCTCCCTCCACCCTCCTCTGTCTGAACTGCTTATCCAGCCTTAGCGCCAACCCCATTTTCAGCCGTGCTTTGTATCACATAAATTACAGAAGAAGGGATATATGGAAACTGGCAGAAGTAAGCAGGAGTCACGAACCAGCCCTCACCTCTGCGACGTGAGGGACAGACTAAGTGATGAAAAAAGTACAGGAAAGCCACCTCCCACTTAAACCCGATCCCCAAGCCAGTCCTCCCGGATGCTCCAAAAACAAGTTGCCTTCTGCTGTTTTCTTCAAGCTTCTGTGAGTAAACATTTTCATTTCCACAGAACTATTTGATCTCAACCAGAGTTTCAATATTTTTGATCACACAAGCGTGCTGAGTTGGTTCTGTGGCTGTCTGTGGGGAGGGACACGGACTTAAAATTACCAGATCCCTTTCATCTTCCATCTTGAGACCTACATTTGCCAACTCCTTCTTCCCCCCGTACATATTTTTTTTAAAGTATGAAATCTGAGAACCTCAAAGTTTTCCACTGCACAAAGAGCAGCTCTTTCATAGTCTACCAAGAGGTCACTGAAAATGTTACAGAAAACCTGCTTCCCCACCAGTATGCCTCTGGTATTCTCACCCACAGTTTCTCTACGTGTGACATCTCCTGGACTGGCACCTATGTCTTAAGCAAATCTCTCGGTCCCTTTCTCTCCCCACTGTCCTGTTCATGGGGGTCTGGAGCCCTCACACTGCCTTTCATCAAAATTCCTCTCCGCCTGCCTCTGGTTCCTTCTGACACCCTGCCGACCCCACAAATAAGGTTCACTGGGTAAGTGGACTCCAGAAACTTCCCTGGAGTGAGGTGCCACAGAGCCACTGACCGGTGGGAGCCAGGCCACCAGGACAGTGGCGCCTCTTTCCACTCCTCCCCAACCCCATACAGAAAAGCACGCTCTCTAAACCCACCCAGCAAAAGTGATAAGGGCCGTCTGAAGGGCGCTAAGCACAGCAGCAGGGGACACAGAGATTCAGGAACTCGCCACACGCCCACCATCCCCGTGGCCGCTGTCAGGCTGCGGCTTCCCCTCTGCAGATGCACGAAATGTCCTTCTACAAACACTCATCAGCTGTCCAACCTGGGGACAGTCACCGAACCACTTAAGGCATCAGTTTCCTCATCTGTAAAATGGGCAGAACAGCTGTGCCCGGAACAAGGCGGGCGCACCTCGCCGCTGCTCTCCGGGGAGCAGGTGTAAGGAGTCAGTGGTGTCAGCACAGCGGCTCCCTGACTCAGGGCGCCTGCTGCTCGCGGAGACGCCAAGGGAGAAATCAGTCCCGCCTTTTGAATTACTTTACGTACGCACAAGCATTAGTCACTCGGACAGAGTATTTCAACTTCTCCCCTGAGCACCTTACTCCGCTGTGTCGAGGGCCGGAGCCTCCCTCCGGCTCCTTCCAGACTTCCTCACCCTCATCCGTCTCCAAGCAAAGTCCACTATTCCTACGCTCGGGGAGGGGGGTCGGGATGATTTCGCCCGTTCCCTCCGCAGGAAAACTTCCATTTCCATCCCGCTGGTAACAAACCCCGTCCTGGAGGACGACTAACTGCTGCTCGCACTCCCCAACACAGGCCCGGGAGTTGGTCGCGCCCGGGGCCGGCTCGGAGGCGGAGGGCCACGCGCGCGGGGCCGAAAGTCCGCGCCCAGGCCGGGCTGCCCCGGCGGGGAGGCGGGGGGAGGCCGGCGCGTCGGGGCGGAGGGCGCGGGGTCGGCGGCCCCCCGGCTGGCAGGAGCCGGCCCCCGGCCTCCGGTGCGGGGAGAAGGCGCGCGCGGGCAGGGGGCGCCGCCCCCCCGGGGGCTCCGAGCCCGGCACGCGTGGCGGCCCCTCCCGCGGGCGCCGGCTCACTCACCCCATCTCCGGCGCTGCTCCGGCGGCCGCTCCGACGGGCCCTCTGGCGCTCGCTCCCCGCGCGCTCCGCAGTCGCTCCCCGCGCGGCACATGCGGCGGCCCGTGCGCGCCCGGCTCAGCCCCGGCGCCGCTCCATTCCGCGGGGCTGCGCGGCTGCCGTGGAGCTGCCGCCGCCGCCAGGCGCGGGCGGGAGGGGGCTGGGCCGGCGGGGGTGGGCGGGGGCTGGGCGGGGGGGGGGGGGGGGCTGGGCGGCCGCGCTCGGGCCCCGCCCCGCCCCGCCCCGCTCCCCACGCCGGCTCCTTACGTAACCTCGGGGCCGGGGCCGCGGCGCCCGGCCAGGGGCGGGGGGCGCGGCTGCGCGGGGACCGTTTCCCCGCGCGGCTGCGCGCTCCCCGCCAGCCTTGCGCGCAGCCCCCTTCTCCCGCGGGCAGCGTGGGCGCACCCCCGTCCCTGTCCCGCCCCGGGGGGGCTTGGCGTTGTACCTCCGGGCGGGCACCCCGCCTGCGGGACCGAGAGTCGCCCTCGCAGCTGGAGGGACTTTGGTGCCACCCAAGATTGCAGGGGAGGGAACTGAGGCTCCGGCGGGGGGGGGCAGTGAGTTTCCCCAGGTCACATTTTCAGACCCGAGCTCGGGTCTCCAGAATCTGAGATGGGCACGGTCACGCCCCTCCTCGGAGCCCTTCATTTTGCTGTCCATTGCCCGGCTCCGTGGCTCCCGGTGCCCGCCGCCATGAAATCCGGGAAGCCAACGTGGCAGGCGGTCCTGCACCTGCAGCGGGTGCTCTGGGCTCTTCCGCGGGTGAAGACGGGGCTGGGCTCCCAGTGAGAGCCTAATAGCTTTTAAGGAGGCTTAATTAAGCTTGGTTTTATTCTTAGAGCAAGGGAAATTGAGATGGCAACAAGAACTTGAAGAGCAGTCCCTGAATCCCTTGTCATCATGTTCCGGTTCCCTACCAAAGGCTGGCACCGGGACTAAGCTAACCTTCTGCCCCTGAGGGCCTCCCACCAGATCATCTGCTGAGAACACACTGCCCACATAAACCTGCCATTTCAGGACAGTTTAAAAAAAAAAAAAAAAGTAAAGGAAGAAGCATAAGAAGTAGGGCCACCATCTCAAACCTCCCCTCATCTCTTTTGGGACCACAAGTTTACCTGCTAACCACCAAGGTCTCCTGGGCGAGGGTGGGGGGCACCCACCCTGTACTTCGCACTGTGGCCAGTAATTATCTCAACTAAATCTGATCATGTCACTCTTCTTAAAACCCTTCAGGGGGTTCCTTCCCACTGTCCTTAGGATAAAGACCAAGATACTAAACATGCCTCAAGACCCTGCCCCCATGGTGCCTCCACTGCCCTCTCCAGCCTTTTCTCTCTCCTTCTCCTCTTCTTGCCCTTAGCCAACTGAACATCCCCCTTCCAGCCCCAGGACCTTTGCACATGCTATTCTCACCCTTTGGGAAAATCTTCTCCCCTCATGTCTGTGTCACTCCTAGTCAATTCCTACTCACTCTTCAGATCGCAGTTAAACTCTCCCTTCCTGTGGAACCTTTAATTAATGCCCTAGACAAACTGTGAACGCCCATATTGCACTTATTATTTGCAGTATGTATCTGTGAAGCTACCAGTGTACTATCTCTCCAGGGCACATTTGCAAACTCTGTGGAGCCATCTCTTTTTCTTCATCATTGTCTCTCCAGTGCATAGAGCTATGCCTGCACGTCCTCCACAAACACCTGTTGAATGAATGAATTGGCATAAGCCAGGCCCCAGACAGACAGAACTGGCCAGCGTCCATAAGCACAAGTGAGTCTGTTCGGAGTCTGTTCAGTACTTGGTCCTGGAGGAGCTGCATCTATCAGCAGCTGAATTCCAAAGACCAGGGGTTGGGGTGGGGGTGAGGGCCGTCCTGGGCAGTGTGGAAGGCAGAAGTCAGCAGAGGAGAATAATGGAGAGGCCAGCTCAGCTGGCGGGGGCATCAGCACACAGATTCGCCCTGCGGCGGGGCTGAGCAGCCTCCCGAATCCTGAACAGGAATAGCTTTTTGTTCCACTGACGGGAGGGCGCACCCACTTACCTTGGGAGGGCACAGCCAGGCACAGCAGGTGGAGCTGGTGACTCACTTGGGCTGTTTCCCACAGTCAGTGTGAAGCAGGGCGATGCTGGAGGTAGGAGCCCGCGGAAGGCTCGACACGGAAGGCTTAACTCCATGAGTTAAGTGCCTGTCCCCTGGACAAAGGCCCTCCCTACGGGGTGAGGAGAGAAAGGAAAAGCATGGAGCAGACAAGATTTGGAAACAGATGCCCCTCGTCCGCACCAACTCTGGAGGACCTGTGGGGAGGTTTCCCTTCTCTCCTTCAACCCCAACTCCGGGCCCAGAGTGGGGGCTGCCTCCTGGGAGGCTCCCAGACAAGCCAGGGCCTCGGGTGGGCCCTCTCAGCAGCACTTGGTCACCGTGGGATCTCCCCGAGGGGGGCCACGCGGAGTTCCTATCCGGGCCTGCTGCTCCATCCAAACCGTCACCCCTTTTGTGGGAAACCTCTCCCAGCGACATGCTCTGTGTGGCCCAGTTGTCAAGGAAAAGAATGGGCCAAGTCTCCTCTTTGAAGAGGCCCGAGGTGAAGAGGAGGGAGGCTGTGCTGGCTGGAGGCTGAGGCAGGGCCAGGAGGCCTGGGTATCCTTTTAGACTGGGCAAGAGGAGCCAGTGGGGGCACAGACTGAAGATGCGGGTGGGGAGAGGGAGGTCCCGCCCAGAGGAGAGCGGGAGAGCACGGGGTCCAGCCCCAGGCAGAGGCGTGAGCCTTGGAGAGGAGGGGAGGGTCTGGAGGAGAAAGCTGACAGCGAGGGTGGGCTCACAGTCTTCTGCAGGAAGCACGAGCGAGAGCAGGGCTGGGGAAGGCCAACTATGAAGCATCAGCCTCGGGAAGGTCAAAGGGGATGTTTGCCTAGATCCAGAGCTGGGAGTGGGTGGGGCAGAGATGCCCCCAGAAGTCTGGGAAGCCAGACCTCGACCAGCACAAACTCAGGCACTTTGCATTCCTGCCATTCTGTGTGGGTAACAGAGGTTTCCAGAGCTGGAGCACCAGGAACGGACAATCTAGACAATCGGCCTAAGGAACGTTTCGCACTCTGACCAGGGCAGATCTGGCCACCGCGGAGGGGGAGGGGGGGGTGGGGAGGGGCTCAGCCGAGAGCTGCAGGCGCAGAGAGCTGAGGAACGGAGGAAACAGGGAGCAGCTTCCCATGCGCCCCTCCTCTGTATGGCCTGCAACCCCCCCTCAACCCCCAGCTGCCGTGGCGGAAAAGCACTGTGCGCTCTCTGTGCCTGAGACGGCAGCATTCCGTGACTCTCACTTCCTGCCTCTCAACACCAGCTCCCGGAGAAATGGCCGGTTTCCGTCTGGGGCAGGGTAAGTACAAGTGAGCTAAAGCATGCTGGTGTACCAGGAAGTAAGGACCTGCTCGAGCAGACACGAGGATGGGGACCCAGGAGCCCCTGAAAGAGCTCTCAGTGGCCAAAGCTGAAACACTGGGAGCATTCTGATAAATGACACTGATTAGCATTACGATGCAAAATAAGAAACAAATCGACATCGGTCCATGCGTAAGTAAATTATTAAGGGGACGCCTGACGTGGCTCAGGTCATGATCTCTGGGTCCTGGGATCGAGTCCCGAATTGGGCTCTCTGCTTAACAGGGAATCTACTTCTCCCTCTCCCTCTCCTTCTGTGCATGCATGCTCTCTCTCTCAAATAAATAAAGTTTTTAAAAAATAATAAATTATTAAGTAAGTGGAGAAGAGGCAAATCTCCCCTACAGAAGATTTCCAAATGAGATGCACAGATACCCTCCGTTCTGGGAGGTAGCATGTGACACACCCCACCCCTCCACCCTCCTCTCCTTTGTGTCTTAGTGTCTTAGTGATTTGCCTTGAAAGAATACAGAGAGGGAAACGTGGTCACACCACAGTGGGGGAACCCAGAAGACCTCCCTTGACCAAGCGATCAAGGTTAACGTCACCAGTGATGAAGCATGTTGGCATCTCGTGCCCCTGATAGGGTGTGACAAGACGTGTACTTCACCTGTGTGACGATTGTTTCCCCTAAACCCATAACCCCGGTTGACTCACGAGAAACACACCCGACAAATCCACATTCAGGAGCATTCTACAAAATACCTGACCAGGACTCCTCTGTCAAGGTCATGAAAAAGAAAGAAAGACCAAGAAACCGTCACAGGCCAGGGGAGACCCAGGAGACATGAGGCCTGAATGCATCCGAGATCCTCCACTCAGTGCTGGAAGAGGGAAAAGGCAAACGGGTAAGATCCAAAGAAAGTCAGGAGTTCAGTGACTAGCGACGCGCTAGGGCAGGCTCCTCGCGCTGCCATCCGGTGGCACCGTAAGACGCTGATGGCGGGGGGCGCCCGGTGAGGGGTGTGTAGGAGCTCTAGGCCTTATCGTTCCCACTTCTCTGTACATCGAAAACTGATCCAAAATAACAAGTTTATTGAAAAAGAAAGTAGCCCTGGGGATGTCCTGTATGCCAAGTCCCACACACCCCTCGCCCCGGCCACGGCGGGAAGGTGAGCCTGCGGAGCTCGGGGCCAGCACCCCACCTGGTGAGGCCTGGGGCTTGACACGGTGTGCAAGACCCCCAAAGCCAGCCGTCCGTATCCATGCTTTGCAGGCAACTGGCGCTGAGAAACGCATCTGACACCGCAGCCCAGGCCCGGCTTCGGCGTTCTCTGCAGATACCTGTCTGTACAAAATGGAAACAAAAGTTACATATATATATATATAGGAAAGTCACACAGAACAATGCTTACCCTCTCACCCGCAAAGCATTCAGCATCGTCCCTTCTGTTCTATTTTTAAAAGCGGTGCTGCCCACAACTCGCTCCATTGATTTTGAAACCTGTAATCTATACATGTTTTTTTCTCTCAACAGCAAGATGAGGCTCACCGTGTCCACGGATGATATTATTAGTGTGTTCAGATTTCTGATGCTGCTGATCTGAGGACTTTAAACACTTTTTATCTTCTGACCCTACAAGGTCAGTTCTTGACATAGGAAACAAACATCTCATGAAAGCCCTTAATTCAATGGAGAACTATGAGGGGCTACGCAGCTACTAGATGAGATCTGGGAAGACCATAGAGTAACACGGAAAAATATTTATTCTTTCAGCAAATATTCATCACC